CGAAAGCCAAGTTGTCGATGTAATTTTTTATTTCCAGAGTTAACTTTCGTAACGATAAAATTTCTCCACGTGCGATCGTTTTTCTATCCAAGAGCATACAGAAGTCATTAAAAACTTTGCGAATTGTTATAATCGGCGAATTGATATCTCGGTTACTATTACGGTAATGCCAATAACATAGTGATCCTACGTAAGCCGAGACGTAAGAGGGCCGTAAAGTGTACATTTTTTTCTACTCCCTGGCGTCCCGAAATTGCGCGTCGCTGCTATCATAATATGCTAATCCAGTGGTCGCACCCTAGGGCGGCGTAAATATAAGCCGGGCGAGAGAGAAAAAAAATGAAAATTAGCGCTCGCACGCGTCTCCCAAAGTGCTCTCCCGCGAAATGAGACGAATAAAGAGTGCCGAAGGCGCGAGCAAACAGTTTTAATCATTTTTGCATTCCGGGGGGAGCAAATTCAAGCCTCCGGAATTTCGATGCTGCTACGCCAGACAAGTTTCTTCCACTGAGCATACTACCACGTCTATCTCTCTCACTCCCAACGATGATATCTCTCTAACTCTTTGTTTGCATTAACGAGATGCGCCATTTGAATAATTCATTTCGCGTTTGATCATCTTAATGAATCGTATCTGTTTCCACTATTCCAATTATGTAATTTAAATCAATAGTTTGCAGTAATTTCATTATTTCCTAAATTTATGTACTATTTACGCGCTTAGTTTACATTACAAAATTTATATTTAACCCTTTTACTCACGCAATTAGTGCATTCACTTGATTTTCACTGTAAAGTACTATTTTAAGGTTTTCGGGTGCGTTCATTATAAATATGAAGTCACCTTAAAAATTCAAGATCGCAGGTACAATATGACAATCCATAGTCGGCATATTAGATCGGCTGTAATAATTTTCACATATCAAACCAAATAAAGACTTTATTTTCGTCAATATTTTAGTTAGTTTTCATGCTGTTCAATGTCAAAATATTCAACAACATAAAAGCTAACTAAAATATTAAAAAAAATTTTTTTCAGAAATATTGCCTCCTTCCTATAGAATCAATTTCTGCACATTGAGAAAAGGTTCATTTTTCACAATTATAATCGTCACATTGAATATGTATACAGACATTTTTGCGATTTACACGCCAAGAATGTTATTTTGCGCAATCGAACTATAAATGCCAAGCATTTTCGGCACATGTTTATAATAGTATGTTATTGTTAACGAATTAGATCCACGAAAACCTTTTTTTATATATTCATTCCTTACAATATAATTAATATTTACAATTTTACATAAAATAATCATTCTAAATTTGGATCTTTAATAAATTTAAAAATATAACGGAATTTTAACATTATATATAATATTGAACATAAAAATTTTAAAAAAATGAAAAAATTATAGCCGACATATTGGCTCCTGTTACTGTTATGATTAAAAATAATTCATAGCTTATGCAGATATTTTTTGTCAAATTGTTATCAGATTATTTAGTCAAATATTTCCTAACTTATGGAAACCATTGGATTAAGAAATTTGATCCTTCGTATGGAAAACCATCAGAACACACTGAAACTGCAAAATTGTAAAGGAAAGCTGCAACGTAAAACAGTGTTATATCAAAGTTCTCAACGAGTTCGTTAAACTAACATGTTACAAATTCGTTGTAAAATACAAAGAAAAAAAGAGTACGGGACTGAGTAAAAGTAACACCTAAGCTTCTTTGTGCAAACTTTAAAAGAGACGTCAGTCATCTAAAATCCAACTAATGAACGCCGCGAAGTATATTTAAAAGAGAATTTGCAAGTTTTTGGGCGCGATATCAGAGGCAGCAGTAGCATTAGTAACTCGGCTAATTTTCCAGAGAAAAACTTTGTATGAAAGAGCTGTTACATATACACAGTGAGAGGGCACTGAAATAAAGTAAGTCAGAGTTGCCCCCTCAAAAAAACAAAAAACAGACGTGCACAGGCGTAATCCTCGCGTCGTGGCTATCTGTGCATTCATGTATTTGGGTTAACGTACAGAGGCAAGTTTGGCTTCAAACGCATATAACTTGTCTACACGCGCAAAGGCAGATAGCAAGCCGTGAGTATCCAATCGAGAAGCTATCGAAACGATACGCGTGAACGAACTTCTCCGAAATTGAGGTAGCAGCGTCGCGCTATACTGCACAGCTCCTCCTCTCAACCAGCGAGAAAGAAAAAGAGAGGGGAGGGGGGCGAGAGAGTTTACCTTGGCGAAGAAGGGGGTCTCTTTCCGTACTTTAATTGGCGAAACTGGCTTGCCGGGCGAACGACTGAACAGCCTATTTGAGCCTCGTTCAAACCTTGTTAACCGACGTGGCAATTAATAGGGATGGAGAGTGGCTTCTGAGAACCCACGAAACTGTTAAAGATAATCGTCAAAGAAATGCTATGGGGATTTTGTTGGGTAGTTGTTACCGAGAAGAGGCGGCGAGTGATAGTTGCACTGATACATGATGGTTTGCTCAAAGCTTTCAACGAGTTACTTTGGGCTTTTGCCAACAAATACGTCAATCCTAGCTATTCTTTTGTTTCTTTTTTTAATATTCTTTTTGATTTTAAAGTCTCTTTATATATTTATGTAGCATATCAAAATAGATATACTAAATGAAGAAATTTATCTCTGATTTCAGCTGGTGTACGTATGTCATGGGGAAAAATACATTCGATAAATTAATTTAACACAATTGTACTGAATTGATTTAAGTTTACTCAAACTGCTACTTTTAAAATAATTTTTGAAAACTTGTTCTCTTAGCACAACATTGAGCTGTCCCTTGAGTACATGGAAAGTAAATTTTCCAAAAAATTACAGTAATGGCCACTTTAAATCTGGGACGCCGAGGATATTCTACTTTTTTTATATTTTGGCTAATTCTTAAAAATTGTATGGAAAAATTTATTTTTTAATATACGAATTATTATAGCACTGGCACGGTAATTTTTACTTATTAATAACTGAAGAACTTCATTTCAATCGGTACAACAGAGAGACTTCATAAAACAATATAATATCGTACAACCTTATTAGTATCATTGAATAAATCAGACAAGATAGATAGATCAGTGAATTTTTCAACATTTCTTTTCAATATTTGTATCATAAGAATAGATTTCAAAAGTCAGTTGCCGATCTAACTTAAAAGCTTTTCTATCGGGTTTGGAAATACATGCATAATTTCTATTTGTAATATAAAATACCTTGTTGTTACTGACTTGTTTTATACAAATAATTTACTAATTATTTCAACTTATTCCATTAATGATTTGGATGCACATGTATGAAATTTTGCGCCTTTAATTATTAACTTCTAAAGTTATAATATGGACATACATTGATAGCTTTCTATAACGTTATTACATTTGTTTATACTTACATTCATAATATTGAAGTGACTATTCAATTCAAATTAGCAAATGAGTGAATCTGTTGCTTAATTTTGGCAATTAAATCATTTGTACTCATACAAAGAACATTGCAAGTATAACCAATGTAGAAGGATGGTGATTTTACCGTGACGCATCATAAAATTTCGCTGAGTATTATAATGAAAACTATTGCCATACAAAAAATTGTTTTACACAAATCAAGATAAAAATGACGAAGTGTTAATAATTTTTATCGAGTAGCTATAGAGCGTCCCACGATTACCGTTACGCATCGCAATTTTTCTAATTAATTTCACTATAACCTTTCAAAGAATTTTCGTTCCGTGTACTTGTCTCTACTTTTTTAAAATGTCTATTATTATGATAAAATTTTTCTAAATATTAGAATCCTTATTTACTTCACGAACTAATTGCTTCTGATTAAATTTGTAATACTTTCATTGGCAATATATAGAAAATTTATTACGTAAAATATTATACGAAGAAACTAAAAGTCAGTCCAAGTTTAGTTATGCGTTTCGATATTGCATTTTTATTAACTTTTGTAACTTGTGAGGGATTAATGAATCAGAATCCTAATTATACACAATTATGAATACCATACAATTAATACAAAGTAAATTAGCACATGGTTGCATCTAATAAATTAAGTTACTGCAGAAAACAACAGATTCGGATTCATAAACAATTGTAAAATAACAACTCAATGTCGGAATAGAGAGCAGCTATTATCAAAAATTATTTATAAAAGAAACGACTCAACCAACCGTTAGAACGGAAATCAATCCAACGGAATTGGATTGCACTAGTATATCGAATCTTTTCTTTTTCTGTAATATTATATTTACTCGAAGCACAATCAGGGATAGAAATTTCTCCTTCACTATATATATTTCGGTGAGCTATACATATACATGTACGTATTCGTATGTATGTGTGTATATGTACACACACACGCGCGCACGCGCGCACGCACACACAAATGCACACACACGTATGTATATGTGCGTATGTGTGCACGCGTGCGTAGCGGGACCTTAAGCTTTGAAACAATGGCAATAAACTTTACTTAGTTTCAAATTAATTGTAAAAAATTTTATGGTTTACTTTGTTTTAATTATATTATTGAACATTTAGGAGGCGTTTGAAAAGGAAAATATGGCTTACGTCGTAAAATAATGACTGTTTAGCAAAGAAATATTTTAATTAATTCAATCTTTATTGAAATTTATGTCCTCAGGACAAATCTGCTTTTTCAAGATTTTGTAAGTAAATGATATGTGTTTATCCGAAATTGAATGTTCTTCAATAAATATTGCCGTAACATAGCTTCTGAGTGGTTGAATCTTTTTTAAATACTGTTTTACTAAAAGGACTCGATACCAGTTTTTATTTCTTAAATTTATAAACTCTCTATATTCCTTAGATTATACTGATTTCTAATTATATTTTTATTTATTTCCTGTTATTGAATAAAATGATTGAAAAGAGAGACCGAATGAAAGAAGAACAAGCAGCGGGATATCAGGTTGAAGAGAATGAGGACAAATGACTAAAGATACATATAACTCACCTTAGGATGTTCACGAACGGGAACGAGCACCTTGACTGACACCCTAATCGGCTTCTCGCGATAAATGTCGACGTACTTCTGGTCCTTGGTGGTCTTTCCAGAGGCTTGGGTCTTGGAAATCTCTGTAACAAACGAGAGAAGAAACATCGTCCACTTTATTATCTGTCGTCTAGTCTGCGGTAGCGGCGAAAAACGCGTATCGAGCCAGAGGGCAGGGGATAAAGAGGTGAGAGATGGGACTGCGAATGGATGCAGGATCAAGATCAGCGACCAGTCAGACTATTCGTTTCTTCTTTTTTCAAGCGAAGGCCTCTCAGACGCGCCTAAAATGGGATTTAACGCTTCGTGAATCATATCCCTCGCAGCACAGCAAGAGAACTACTCCCACAGGCTTTGTACCCGCGAGATCCCACCCGAGCACTGCCAACACTCGCACATATAGACACACTTATTGAAAAGAAAGCGCCTTGTTCGGGCCATTTGACCCTGTTCTCTCTCTCTCTCTCTCTCTCTCTCTCTCTCTCTCTCTCTCTCTCTCTCTCTCTCTCTCTCTCTCTCTCTCTCTCTCTCTCTCTCTCTCTCTCTCTCTCTCTCTCACTATTCGCCCAATTCGTCGAATCAATGAGGAGCTATGATCTTTCTTTCTCTCTCTCTCTCTCTCTCTCTATGTGTATATATATCTTAAGCTTTGGGGATTTCAGAGCTCTGCTCTGGGACGCGTCCATAAAAACACTAGCAAAATTTATCTCTCCGCACACGCGACTACTGCACTTTGTGTACAGACTGAATTTCACATCCGACCAGAGAAGCAGAATAACTCATTTTAGTTGACAATTGACAATTGATCCGTCGCTTAGTTGCATCACTTTTCGGTCAATGTTTTCTCAAACGGGATCTAGATCCGACGACGACGATCCCGCGCGCTTAACGCTTAAAACTTAACTTTCTAGTTTACCTGAATGATGTATTTCCAATTATTACTTGACGGATTAGAGTCTACGGCAATCAAAGCTCGCGCGCACTCAACTTGCTTCGGTACTTTATGCTTGCGCGCTACTAGAAGCTCTCCCGGAGCTTTCAATCAGCGCCAGCGCCAGTAGGACCAAATCCTCGCCTGAAATACCGAGTGTCTCTCTTATCGGCTAATCAATTGTCTCGTCGATCATTAAATATATCGAACGTGCTTAGCGCAGAACGCTATTTCCTTTTTCGACGGATAGGAAACTCCGCTTTGAAGTTTTGTATATTAACTAAAAAAAGGATACTTCCTGTAGTTCTCTTGAGCATCGTTAGCGCAACTTTTTTTCTTTTTATTCCGAGGCAAATTTTTTAAGCGATTTCCAATAAAGAGTTATGCACTAACAGTCCAGACATGTTCGGATATATCTATTAGTACATTATCGACAAGCGAGGTCGTCGTGTTTTAAAGTCGCCTCAGCCGCATACGGCGATAAGGCGGCAGGCGCCACGAATGAGACTTGAGGGAAGAAAAAAAAGAGAAGAGAATCGCGTCGATTCGTCGTCACTGCGCGCGAAATCACAATGGGCTGATCAGGCGGACCGGAGCGACAAAGGACTACCACTGCCATCCGATTCTTTTACGTCCGGTAAAGCCGGGGGGGGGGGGCGAAGCAGCAGAAGCTGATAAAAATTCTTTGAAAAGATTCGCTGTTTCGCGCCTCGCGGGACTGAACCTCGGAATTCCGAGAGTTGCCTGGGATGTACTCCAGGCTACCGCCACGCGGTTTCAACGCGACCCCTTACACCTCAGCGCTTCACTACTACCTTTTTCTCTTTTCCTATTCGAATTCTTTTCCCGGCTGTCGTTTTACTATATATCTTATTTTCTCTTTCTCTTTGCTCTTACTTACAGCGCCGCTGTGCTGCCTTTTTTCGCGTCTTTTTTCGATGTCTTACTACGGCTTCGTTTATATGTGGCGTTTTTTTTCTTTGAGCTGCTTATTGAATATTGCGGGAATTCTTTCTTGTAAATTGTGTTTCAAAGGTACTTGAATAAATTCAGTTGAATATAAATTTGGAAGATTGTTTATTTTTTGACAATTGAATGAAAATTGAATGAAAATTTGTATTTCATAGATATTTCGTAATTATCCAATTTCGAAATCGGTCGCCAAATATAAACTGTAAGATGCACACGCATTGTGATACTGACAAATTACCACAAACGGCCGACCGAAGCGTGACTCTACTACTCGAAACGCCGTTCAGTGAAACATCGCAAGAAAGAACAAAAATAGAAAAAAAGTAGACAAAGTGGTGAAGAGAAGGCAAGGCTAAAGCGTAGGCTAAACCGCGGATTATAGCACTTGCCGCAGTGAAAAGCCACCACATAGAGGTGGCTGGCTGTGCGGTGGACTCTCGGCGCGCTCTATTTTCCACGAAGGGTGTCACGTGTGTGCAGAGCGCGGAGAGCAGCGGAAAACGCTTCAAAGAGAAGATGACGAGGAGGAGGACGACGAGGAGGAGGAGGAAGAGGAGCAGCAGCAGCAGCAGCAGCAGCACGAGGACGAATCGCGCACGCGAGTACTTTGGACGACTATCTGAAAAGTCGTGAAGATATCGTGACAGTTCGCTTGCTCGCGAGAGAGGCAGGCAGCTTATCTTCTTGGCCCGAGGCTTCGTATAAATCGAGCCAGCATCCGCCCGCCGGATTATGGCATTGGCGCTTTTATGGCCAGGAGAGTCGCCCGCAAACAACACACCGTGACACAACCACGATCACAATGGCTCTTTACGGCCTCGTGCAAAAGTAATACTCAAGTACAAGAAGATAAATTAGTTATTTTATTATGTGTTCCTTCGTAGCCCCTCCCTATACACACACACACACACATATGCGCGTGCAGCGATCGCGTGTATCAAGGTTTTGTCGACAGCGGAACGGACAGTTTTTATGCTCGGAACCATCGACTGACAAAACATTGCAAATATTTTCGCGGAAAAATTGTCATTTACATTTATGAATGTCGATGTTGCGATCAGCTCAGCAGAGAAGCACGCATTTTGTATAAAATTTTATGTCATTTTTATTTACAGGTAGATATATTTAATCAGATACTGGACAGGAGGGTTTTCGATTTTTAATTGAATCACCAACGTACTGCCGCGTATCATATTCAATATACTTGTCACAAAAAATATTGAAAACTCTTGGTTGGTTATTCATATGCAAATAAGTCGGTAGAAATAATTCGCTGCACATTTTCGCATGAAAATCAGTTTCACATGGAATCTGAGAATCAAAGTTTGCAGCAAATTAACCTTATGTATATTATAAAATTTTAATTAAATTTTTTATGAAATAGAAAACATAAAGCATCATGAATATCAAATTTAATTCAGTGCGGTACTTCACATGAATATAATTAATAATCCATTTTACACAGGCGAGTGGCTTATTATTCTGTTGATACAACCGTTAAAACTCGTGTGAAGGGGATCATGTCACGTAGGAGCAGAATATTTAGCGAAGGATAATTTTGTCAAATGCAATCCTTTGCGAAAACTGAACTGAAATTTACAGTAACTAGTGATACAAACAATCGAATACAAAGTAACAATAATTATCATCGATTTCGATATCCGAACAGTCTGAAATTTATAGAGTTTATCTAGAAAAAAAAAAGTACAAGTACGAGTGAAGTAGCGAAGCCAGCGATATCTGGAAAAAATAAAGTAGCAGTTAATCGTGCAAAAATACGTGAGGAAGGAGCAGAGAAATTCTCTCTCTTGGAATAACACTGGTGTGGCGCGAACAAGCCATACTTTATAATACCGAACCAGGCTTTATCCGCGAACAAAGAGCAGAGTCATACCATTACATTCTTGTGCATAGTTTCGGCCAAAACTTGCGGCAGTCGATATTTATTTGCCTGAGAGAGGGCCGGGGGGGGGGAGCGTCCGTTCCCGGTCTTCGTACCACTACAGACGCCACGGGTCAATAGATACATATGTACGAACATTACCCTCTCTCTGTAGCGACGTATATCGCTTGTTTTTTTATTCTCGAGGCCAACATGATCGCTCGTACACCGGATTCAAACGCTCGGTACCGTTGGCTTACCCATTTTTCCACGAGCATAAAAATACAAAGCACCTTTTTTCATATTCTTCAAGCGCTACTATAAGGCACAGCGCCGCTGATGTTCACGAGCGAAAGTGATCCGCGCTTGTAAAGTTTTCGACGTTTTCCACGCGCGAACAGCTTCCGAAAGAGATGAGCATGAAAAAATTCATCTCTTTATCAATAGCATGGCGACGCCATTAAGGTACTACTCTCTAATAATTTCCAATCGCCCACGGGCGTGAGGATTTTAAGGGGAGCTCGTAAAAGTGGCGCGACTAGCAGAAGGCGCAAGAGTGCTTGGATAAAAGTGGTCGAGTGTGTAATTCTCGGTGACGCGCTCACGTTTTATCGCTTTTCCTGCTGTATATAGCATAGCCCCGCAAAGAAAGTCGCCCAGGGATGGTACGCTCTTTTTTCTATTTGTTAGCTTGCCTCGGGATTGCCTACTACGACCATTACCTTTCTTCAGCAAGTCGGAAGCGCTGGTTTTTGTCGCCACTGTTACGTACTGCTTCAGCACGCAAGAGCTATATTAATGCTACAAATCGAAATTTACGGCTCACCGCCTAAAAGCATCCATTCAATACCATCATAAAATACACGAAGCTTCTAATGTTGATTCAGTCGTTAACATGCTAACTCGTTCGAAGAGTCTAACTTATTTACGCGTAAAATTTCCAATATTAGCCAATATTAATTGCTTAACGTAGCGCGACGTCAGTGATTTTTCTTTGTTAGCCTTAGGGAACATTTTAAGCAGTCAACATCAAAGCTTTTCATTACCAACTCGACACAAGTACAAAAAACTTTTTGATGAAAAATTTTCAGCGAGAGCGAGCTTTCTTTTTTGTTTTTTCTTTTTGTTTTATATAACTTTCGACTGAGCGTGACACGAATATTTTTTCTCCCTAAAAATGGAAATTTCATGCAATAAAATAAACTTGTTGCTCCATTTATTCCATACAATTTTTCTGGTGTAGTTTACAGTAAATTGAGAAGTTAGGTATAAAACCACAATCAATCAATAAGCTATTT